CTAGCCTCCAGGTCACTAGGTGGCAGCAATTCATACAGTGGTTTGTACAGAAAAAATATATATACATGTTATCAGGTTCTCAATAGTATTTAAATTCAAAGGGGTGTGGGTCGAGGAGGCACGGGGGACGTGAAAACATTTCTGTCCCCATTTTCTGTTGAATTATGCTGGTAAACAAACAAAAATAGAACTCAGTATTGGCTCAGTGTCTACAGTAATGCACCACTCTGACATAAACACTCGCAGGTATTGAATTCGGCCCATGGGGCAGATATGGACCACTGGGCTTTTTATGCTGCCAGCACTGGTACAAGGGATCAGCATGAACTACATATAAGGTTTGCTACTAGCCATCAATTAGCCGAGACAATAGCATTGAAGTAATTAGAGAAATAGCCTGAAATGATCTTCAAGAATTCAAGCTGCGGCCTAAATTTAGCCAAGGTAAGAGTTTGTCGAGAAACAGCTAAAATCTAAGAGTATTTTTTTTGTACTTTTTATTTAATATAATATAATTTTAGGACAGTGACTCTAATTTTTGGTAGGGGTTTTTTTGTCAGGAACTGACAGTTTAACACTTGGTCCTGTCAGAGTGAAAGAGCTTTGGAAATTGGGGAAACTTGCAAACTCATGGCCCGCAATGTTTGCTCAGAGCTCACAGTGACACCGTAATTAAAATAGCACCGAACGCAGGACTCGGAACAGCGACGGCTGCACTCCGCCCTGACACTGTGTCTACAGTACATGAGCCGATGATTCATGTGCAGAAATCAAACGCGTCTCCAGTGAAAATGGGAACCAACACAATGAACTCTATCCCCTGTCAGAGGCCGAGATAACTTTTCCTGACACACTTCTTACCAAAATAAAATTTAAATTAAAAAAAAAGGTTGGCTTCCTTGGTCTTTTTAGCTTTAGGGTTCATAATACGTACGTTATATATAAGATTAAATTTACAGTTGCTTTAAAATCGCCAAACATCAATTTCATTTCATTCTTTTTCTTCAAACAATCAAGACCAAGAGTTTCAACATTTCAATAGAAAACGTTCTTTTTCTTGTTTCTTTTTATCTCAACATCTCAAACCGAAGTGAAGGGTTTGCGATCCTTGCGGTTTGCATCTTTTCCCTGCTGTTATGTCCCTGTTAATGGATCCCACTGGGCTCACCCGTCTCTCAACACAAAGTGGTCCTCCAAACACCGCGTGCATCGACTGGGCCGGGCGTCTCCAGCCCAGCCGCTGTTACAGGGCATGAATTAATGAGTTAAGGCTTAGAAAAGCCACAAATGACCAATCGTCCGTGGCGAAGAGCTGTTTGCATTCGAAGAATTAAAAGCGTCCGAAGTTCTGCGGCTGCCTATTAATGATGTCAGTTTGGCGAAAGTCTGAGGGGAAAACTTTTTAGCATCAGGTAAACTGGTCATTAAAATTGTTTGGGAAGTTTGAACGCTAACCTCCCGAGAGTAAGACAAGACATCAAACATGTTTTAAGGAGGCAGTGTATCTTTGAATTAGACGTCATACTGTGAAAAAACAAACAAAAACCACCAGCAACAGTCATGAAAACCATGCTCTGTTTCCCAACTAACCAGAAAGTTAATGTCATTGATGGAACCACAGAAAAAGCGCAGCCTGAAACTTTGATAATGACCAGGTTTTGCCAGAAGAAATCTGGGAATTTTTCACCAAACTTAGATACACAGAGAAAATATGAGTCATATGACATTCATAGAAGTGCAGTTCCAGACTTATCATGTAGCACAACTTATGACTCACTAAGGGGTGTGAAGGGTCGTGCAAGGCAACAAAAAAGTGTCCCCTCAATGCAGTCACACACCTTTATAGAAAGAACTCATATCAACTGGATATCACAATAAATATCAAGTAACGACACCAAAGCCACCCGTACCCATTCCATCATGGTTTTTATCATGTCATTAATCTCAAGTCCAGACTTACTCACAAGTCAAGTCAAAAGTCGCAATAACTGATATAAAATAATATAATTTGTAAAAAAAAAAAAAAATACAAATTACATATTTTAATTTGTATTTATTTAATTTTTTTTTACTTTTTTTAAAAAGCAATTATTTTGTTTCCAAAGATCCTGGAAATAGACTACATTGCTGATTTTATTTTACTTGTGTGAATGTTTTTTTTTTTTTGGGGGGGGGGGTTTATTTTGATTTTAACTTTGACAAAAACAACTGTGTTTGACGTAAACTTGGGGAAAACAAAATCACTTGATCAAAGGTAGTATGATCCAGCAGTCAGGTGGTATTTTTAAAAAAGGAAAGTATTTTTCAATTTTGCCTGATTAAAAAATAACAAATGCATTACAAAAAAAAATCATTATTTTTTAATTATTTTTTAAAAAGTGTTCCCACTTTTTGGGAATTTTGTTTCATGCAATTTGTTTAATTGGCTAAGTGAGCAGCTGATGGTAACCATATGTGGTCCATATACTGTAATTTCAACGCCCGAGTGAATGCACATAAAGCCGACATGGAAATGCTGGCTTGGGATGTTGTTAGAGCATTTTCCGTTAATTCCCGAACACTCCGAGGGAGGCTTCACTTTCAGAACTCTTCCCACTCCGGCTGTGAACCCTGAGGTGCTGGGAAAAAGACTATTTGATCTCATTGCATCATGAATGATTCAGGAGTTCATACTGACTAAGATTGAGTCTGCAGTACTTTGGGGAGGCGGGGGGGGAGTGCTTATGGAAGTACAAGACTAGCCTATAGTCACATTGTTTGTACTTGCGAAAGAAGAAATTCAGCGGCAACCATAATTTGTTGGATTTACAGGGCTAACGTCTGCTAGCTCGTCTGTAATGAGCCAGCGCTCTCAGCTTCTAATGTAATCCCCGAGAGTACTCAGGCGCGGAGATTCATCCATCAATTTTCTTAATATATTAACCAGTGGTGTACGTCCAGGCCAGCAGGGCCGTCTCTGCCGGCCTAAACACTATCAGAATCAGAGACTTATTTTTCAATATATTTGTCATGAATATTTATAAAATAATACAGTAGTCTGTTCTCGGCTTTTCTCTCAGTTGCTCTGCGTTCACTCACGTATATTTATAATCATGTTTTTTTTATCCAATCATATTTCAGCGTCATGTGTTGCTGCCTTAAGGCCTCAGAATCAGTGGTACGGACGCTGCGAGACTGAAATGAATGGTCATGCGATTGTTTATTTATCCAATCAGATTTTGAGCTGGCCACAACAAGGCCAACAGAAGTGATTCCTAGAACCTTGCTTCAGGTTTTTGGACTCATCTGTCCCTCGACAACTTCAGTTTCATTCGATTCAGGGTAGTTTTTTTCAAGGTTAAAAAATGACGTGACCTTACATTTTTTTTAGCGTTTTTAAATTTTTTGCCATCACTGACCCATAGTTCAGACCATGGACTGTATCATCTTTAGTACCGTAGTTTGCAAACTATAAGTCGCACCAGCCAGAACTGCAGAGAAGAAAAAAACACAAGTCGCTCCAGTGCTCTCTAACGGCTGTCAGTGTGAACATAACGAACATGTAAATTTTCAGTGGTACAGGAGTAGCAGATACTGGTACAGGATCCTAGAGTGCCCTCTAGCGGTTGCCAGTGTGAACATAACAAATGTGAAATTATATATTCTAATATATACAGTAAGTCGCCAGCAAATCCAGCCAAAGGATAAAAAAAATAAGTGCGACTTATAGTCCAGAAAATACTACAAAAAGACTGTGCATTGGGGGGACACTTCAGCTGACACAGACAGCAGCATGCAGAGTTAGAAATAAAGCAGAGTCTTTAACGTTTGCAGGATGAGAATGAGAACATTTAAAGGTTTAGTAAAGTTCTACACAGTCTTTTGTCTACATGTTATTGACTATAACAAGGGTTCAGATGCTAGGAGTAGATGTCTCTGTGCTTCACTAACTTCAATAAATGGCCTAAAGAAAAAAAACTATCACAAATGTGTCAAACCAGAAGCTGCACGAAGATGAAGAAGTCGTATTTCTTTCTGTTTTTTTTTTTTTTTTGACAGCTGCATTTTTTAAATTGCTCACAGCTGGCAGGGAGAAAAGTTTAATGCCGCGGCTTTCTGCTGTGACTTTTGTCAAACAGCAGGCGTGTGTTTCTGTCTATATTAGGAAAGATGCCTTAAACCACCAGCACCACTTCCAAACACCTGCCAGAGGAGGATTTTTCTGGACCAAACATCCTTGAGTAAAAGGTTTTAAAGAATCAACAGCTTCATCGGGCTACACTCGCTTTAACTACGTCTCGTCAAAGCTGCGACGGAAGAAAGAACCGCGGCAGATAAACGTTGACTGTTCCACCGTTCATCTGCAGCCACTAAAAACCAACTTTTTGGAATCAGGGCACTTTGTTAGACAGATACACAGGTCTATACCTGACAGGTGCCTGCAGGGCATCTGTGCTTTATTTCTCAGGCCTAGTCAGCACGCAGGAGTGCATTTTAAAAAAAAATTCTCCTCCAGCTTTAAAAATATTCCCTGTCAAAACACACAATTCTCTGTAAAAAAAAAAACAAAAAAACAAATTCCAAATAAAAACGCCTCACAAAAATCTTCATCCCTGTCAGATTTTTGCATACCTGAGGAGGCGATAAAACTGTGGAGTCTTTCTTGACTTTAGGAGAACGTATTATAGTATATATATATATATATATAACTACCCGAAAATTTACACCAACAGACCAAACGCATTAACGTGACAAAGTGTCAATGTAAAACTGAATTCAGGAAATATTTACGGCTGTTGTTAAAGCAAAAAACCTTATCTACATTATAGACAGAAGAACTAAAAATATTGGAATAAAAATGAATAATCATAGGTTGGAACCCATGCCTACCTGTACACCTGTACAGCAGTGTGTTTTTGGGACAGTTAACCTCCAGTAGTCCATCCAACCTCCAGTAGTCTATCCAACCAGGTTGAAGGAGACACAGCAGGTGGAATCTAAGGCCAAAAAATGAAAGAAGCTATGTTGTCTTCCTAAATCCTCCACCACAGCAGTGAAAGAAATCTCACCTCCCTGGTGCCTGACTTATGAGTGTGGAGGATTTGCTCCTGAAAAAAATAAAATGACTCATTGGTAACACAGGAGCTTCATTTAAATGAGTTTCAAAGCTAATTCTCCTTTTGTTCTTCAGCTATTGAAACTGTATCAGATGCTGTTGCTAGGAGACAGCGGTGCTTGTTGGTGTAAGTGATGAGTGGCAGCAATGACTTTCCGACCTGTGTCTACGGCAGCCAGACGAGGTATGTGAAGTACATACAGTACATGGAACTTCATTAATCCTTCAGGAGTTCGCTTTGAGAAAATTCAGGATTAAGTATGTCAAGAACTATACTGTATATATATATATATATAGGTATATATATTTTTTTTTAATTCCCTGTCCTGTTTTATGCGTTTTTGTACAAACAGGTCTCCACCTTTTCCAAACCTGAACATTTCCAAACAAGCATCCACTCCCATTATGAATAAAAAAACATGAATTATTCAGTGTTTTCAAACATCTCATACATAATAATTTAATAAGTTTGCCCTAAATATACATGGGTTAAGATGCTGTGAAAATATGTAAAATGTAAATGTAAACAAGCGGCTTATCAAAGTTCTGTTGTTCAGGATTGTTTTTGTGTTTGTTTTTTTTTCCCACTAGGCTAGTAATGAAAAGCAAACAGAGATTAATGGAATTATGAGATTAGTCCAAACACTGAACTGTAAACAGTGGATGGAGTTACTGTAGTTCTGAGCAGAGTCCGACATCAAAACATCAGGCGACTGGTGCAGATCTGACTGACTTTATAAAACGACGACTTGTCAAGACTGGAAAGACAAACCCAGAATAAAAGTCTATCTTTGGGGCCTCATGCTTCAAGACCATCAAGAGCAGACGAAAACATGACAGGATTTACTGCAGTAGTGACAGACTGACTGTTGGGGCTGAACGGACTGGGCACAGTCGAGGATCTGTGTTGGTCTCTGCGACTGCTTTAGTCACCGTGAACATCTTAGTCTTCTTTACAGACACGTTTGCGAGTTCAAGGTCTCCATTCTACTCCAGGACTTTTCCGAACCTTTCTGCTCTTACAGCATGAAAAAAAAGGTCATACACCAATCAGATTTCTGCCGTTCTGCTAATGCATTAAGGGTAGGGTTGCATAACTATTAATTAAAAGAAACCTGATTAATCACAGCAGAGCTGCAGATAAATCATGATCATTCATGATTCAGATAACTCTTTCAAGGTGCTTTAGATGCAAGCCGTTGTCCTCAACCATATTAATTGCCCACAGTTCTTTGCAATCTGCTGTTTGATTGGCTGTGAAATTATGTGCATAACCATTTACCATTAAAAAAAACTGGTCATTTTCAAGGTTTTCCAGGATACATGGACACCAGCCTTGGCACAATATAATCTTCTTTTACTCTATTTTCTTGTTTGTTTTGCTGGAAGAAATCACTGAATTTACCTGTAATGTTTATTAACAATATGATACACAGTGAATGAAAATAACCTAAAATAATATTAGTAGTAGAAGTGTGTTCGTGACATTATTGCTAAATGTCTCATTTCTTTTTCTTCTTTTTTTTTTGGAAATTATCAGTCAAATTATTACCAGGAAGTTTGATTTTCTTCTTCTACGTATGTTGCCTTAATATGACTCAGAACCAGTTTGGGTTTTTATTTTGGGGGGTGGGGGGAGTTGGGGACCGCTCCATCATTTTACTACCTGAAGTCTTTTTATAACTACAGCTGCTTCCTGGTTGGATGTCAACTGCAAAAGGCATCATCAGTGTGATGCTGCCGTCCAGATTTCATTAAAATGGTCAGGTATAGATTCTTCACACCAGGCCCATAAGGCACATGTCAGATTCTTGTCTCATTTCTTCTTGGTTTTACTCTCCCTGAGCAACTCCAGCTGTGGACATAATTTCCAGGCACTTCCTGCTTGTCTCTCCTCCACACACCCCAGTCCAAATGAGCTCCCTTGGTCCTGGATGTTTTCAAGCTCTTTGATGACTTGATGTAAGAAGAAGGAAAAGAGCAATGGGGGAGTTTTTCAAGGGCTTGCTCCAATACCCCGCAGTTCTGTCAAGGCCAGGACACAGTAAACTGCCAATCCTCGGATCGTAAACCCGATCTCTGGATACCCTGACACGGTCATTGAAATATCCCAGTAAAAATAAAAACGTTAGAATCTCTCCATCCTGCCTCTGCATCTTTCAAACCTGATATTGTGCTTATTTATTTGATCTTCTTTCTTCTTCATTCCCCATCCACCATAAATGGTCATTGTCAAGGGGTAAAAAGGAGATTCACAGACCAACAGGGATGAAAAACGGTGCTAAATGTAGTTGCTTTTCAAAGGATTTATTTCTGGGGATTCTATCGTGGAAAACACTGTTGACCTTCATAGAATGAATGGTTTTCTTCTCTGGAGGTTTCCTGTCACTGTTATAATGCTGATGATTGGTTTATTACACCAGTTGTAATCTATGTCTATGGCCCGTCTCGATGTGAATACAATTCCACAGATAACACGGTTCTTCCTGTCTTTATGTAAATCTGCTCTGGTGTCCCTGCTGCCCATACTGTAGTCATATGGACGAAATAACTAAAAGATCTCTGAAATAAAACCTTGTTTTTTTGTATTTTTTCCTTATTGCGAAAAAACTAAAAGGACAAAAAAAAACCTTTTGTTAAATCAAAACACATTCACAAACAAATATATGGAACACACTTTAGATGGAGAACGGACAGAGGCTGAAGTCGAAGCAATAAAAAGACCACATTTCTGAAAGGTTTTTCGTTGAACGGATTTATCACGAAAAAGTTTGGAGGTTAAAAGATTTATAAAGATTCGCTTGAAAGAACTTTCTACTGTTTTTTTTTTTAAGATTTAGCTGATTTACGTTAGCATCGCCTGACAATGGAGAGTCAAAGTGGAAACCTTTAGTCAGTGTTTTCTCGTGGACCCGTAAACTGAGAAACTCTTAGATTTTGTTAAATTAAAATATATCCTGTTAGAATTATAAACACATTCACATGGGTTTGGAACTATTTAAAGAAAACAGTTAGCAGAGAAAACGTACTTACTTACAGAGTCCACGAAGAAGAGAATCAAATCGAGGACTCTGGGCAGATGGACTGTTTTCTTACGTACTTCTTTTCTCTGTCTTTATAAACGAGGGTCACATGTTAAATACTATGTGACTGCCTGATATTTGGTTCTCACAGTTGTTGTGTCTCAGACTTTTTGGGGTCTCAGACTTGTTGCGTCTCTTGTTTCAGACTTGTTGGGTCTCAGACTTCTTAGATCTTTGTCTCAGACTTGTTGTGGGGCCCAGGCGTGTTGTGAGCTCGGTGCTCAGACACAGTCTCCTCCACTTCATTAGCAGCAGCCATACATTGGAGTTGCCTGCTGCTCAGATCCAACTGTGATTCCTTTGGTTTTTTTCTCGTCTTTCTTTTGTAATGTCAGACCTGCTCCACCTCCTTCTTCTTTTGTACTTCTCAAGGTTGTTTTGCAGTTTTTGTCACTTCTGTGCTTTGATTTCTAGCTGTTGTTTGTGAGGGGAGCAGGAAGTCTCTGCTCTCCCAGTGGTGGGAACTGTTGCTGCATCACACACCCTGTCAAAAACAAAAGTGAAACACAACACATTAATATTTATCAATGGAGTTCTGCAGAGGAGGAGGAAAGAAGTTAAATCCTTCCAGGAAAAGTCCGTTTCTGTTGAACAAAACTATTTCCCACAGTTCTGTGTTTTTATGTTGTGTTGGTTTGTTTTCTTAAATTATTTTCCATATAAACTTTATGACCTGTACAGATTCTACAATAAACAACTTTGTATTTTATTGTTAAAAGAAGATATTTAGCAGGGTAAGAATGTGGTATTTTTAAAGTTTATCTGTATTTATCTGTAGAAACGAGAAAATAACTTTTAAAATAAAATATTTTTTTTTAGAAAACAAACCCGAACATTCAAAAGTCTTCAAAATCCTCAAAACCTTCAAATACAAACAGGTTACATTCTAGCAAACCCATTTTTAATAAATATCTTTTAATTCTTTGTTCCAACCTGTTTAATGCCATGAACGTGGTGAACGTGTTTGAATGTAACGTGTACGTGATGAGAAAACATATAACGGTGGGGAAATGACTGTGTGACAGCGAGGACATTAGCAGCTAATGTGGAGGAGAGAGAGAGAGAGAGAGAGAGACTGAGGAAAGGTGGGATTAGCAAAAGTATAAATAGCATTTGTACACACAAACACACACACGCACATATATATAATACTGCTATTTCAAGAAAAAGATGGCTGTTATATAAAATGTGAAATATGTGCAGTATCGTTCCCCTTTCGCTTCCACTTTTTTATGGTAAAAAACACAATTATTTTACTGTTATTTATATCTGCAAACCCACCACAACAAATTGTAATGAGTTAAAACATCAAGCTGGTGCTTCTTTTACTATAGGACTACGTTAGACTTTATTTTCTTATACTCTGTCCTGTAATTTGCTGCTTTTGAAGCCGGTCTCCAGATGCATGAATTTTACAACATTCATTTCCTGCTAGAGGTGGATCAACAACACAGTCAAAGATCTTCCATGTCTCCTCTTCATCATCCCTCTTTCCTCTCTCCTCCCCCATTTTTTCACTCTCTCTGAGGCAGAAAACTGAACCATGAATCTGGATCTGCTGGAGTTTTTTTTTTTTTCTCGGCTCAGTGTATGTGATCTCGTACCACAAGGACAAAGAAAGTTCACCGTGAATGAAACCTCCTAAAACTCCACCCTGAAGACATTTCTCTAATGTTCTCTCTATAAGGAATGGCTCAGTCAGTCAGTCACTCACTCAGGTATGCCATCCCATAATGAACCAGTAATTGCTCTCAGGTACGCCATCCCATAATGAACCAGTAATTGCTCATATAAAGTTCAATTTAATTGAATTGTATAATGTGGCTTTATTAAAGCGCCTAATTAACACCACTGCCAGCAGATGGTGCCGTCTGCTGGTGCCTGTCAGTTTAAGATTCAAACACTGAGATGCTGTCAAACCTAGAGCAACACCATGGAGAATATGCAAATGAGACAAGAGCCACTACTGGTGAAGTGTTACTGCTTGGCTGTGTGGCCAGTATGGAGCCCAGATTTGTCATATAAATATGGGCCACATCTTCAGAACACACTTCATATATCAGACACTAACAAGTTCCAAAATGGACTAATAGTAACTATGAGATGTAGATATTGGCCAAATAAAAGTGAGTCAAATGTCTCTGGGTCTGATTGCAGAAAACGCCATTAGAATCAGGGACTAACAAGTTCAAAAATGGACTGGTACTAAGACCAGTGAACAACAGTACCACACAGAGGTGTCGCAACATGGAACTTTTTGTTAACAAGTTAACACGTGTACTAAGACCAAAGACCAGACCATATGTGGTGTTGGTTAACTGGTCCATGTGAGAAAAGTTGGCTTCTTTTTAGGGAACTTTTAGACATTTTTATCGTAATTAAATATCAAAAAGTTTCTAAAAAAGTCTACCAATAAAACACTACAGCATTTTTTTTTCTTTTCATTTTCATTCACACTACTTCTGCAATTTCCTGAGAAGTATAACAAAGCGTTGGGGAAAAGATTAGAGATCTAGCATTTTTCAAACCTGCGAGACCGGGAAGAAAAAGTTCTGCAAATGCTCCATAAATCTACTTACGTAACCTGCCTTTCCGGATAAACACTCCGCAGGGATTTAGGTGAAGCCGAAAGCTTTCCTCATTCTTTACATCTGAGCGATGGTGTTGAAGCTACAGTACTGCAGGAGATAAGGAGAAGGACAGGAGTCACTCATCTGTATTTCTATTAAAAAAAAAAGAACATAGTCGTCGATGTGTTGCTGGGAGATGTACATATTGATACATTTCTAATGGGCGACTGCCAGGAGTGGACGGGCTTTTCAGTGGCAGCAGCGACGGTTTGATGGATACTGAGGCTGGCAGTGGAGATAAGAATGCACACACACACACACACACAGACACACACAGGTGAGGAGGAGAAAAAGGAGGGGGAGTCAGGGGGGAGTTACAGAGGTAATGATAGACACTGTTTTGGGTGAGAGCGTGAGATAAGGCAGTGGATGAATATCAGAGGAAACACATTCAGCAGTGAGGAATGAGCAGAGTGGGAAATGTCATTCAGCTGCAACAGAGAGCATGGCCTCCATAGAGAGAGAGAGAGAGGGGGAGAGAGAGAGGGGGGGGGGGAGAGAGAGAGAGGGGGGGGGGGAGAGAGAGAGAGGGGGGGGGGGAGAGAGAGAGAGGGGGGGGGGGAGAGAGAGAGAGGGGGGGAGAGAGAGAGAGAGAGGGAGAGAGAGAGAGAGAGAGAGAGATCTCAAAATTCTTCCCAAAACTCTTGAAGTTTTTCTTGGATTTCTGTTCCTACTAGAGAGCTGGTTGTGTTTTGTGTTTGTCTTTTTTTCCCAAAGGTGTTGGGAATTGGGGTTAGAGTTGTATAAGGAGGAAAAAAGTTTAGGAACCAGTGATCTAGACCAATAGAGTGACATTAAAAAGCTATGAATGACAAAGAGTTGCAGAAGTGACAAAACTTCGTGCGTTGAGACACAATGTCACTCTGAGGACTTTAAACAACAACAGAGATCGTATCAGTGACGGTGTTCTGACTCCACAGATGACAGATGTACTAGAGAAAAATAATGGAATGTGCGTTCAGAAGTAAAAACAGTGAGGATGACCCGGCCTTCTGTCTTGTCATAACACAAAGCAACACGAAAACAAGCACGCTTTCAGACCAAGGCCCTCGCAGCATTTGTTATCCCACTTCCCCCCCAAAAGAAAACTCAAAACAAAACAAAAAAAAAAACACACACACACAGACAAAAAAACCTAGTGGAGCCGACAGTAAACAGAAAATGTGAGAGAACTGGACTGCAGTCTGTGCGGACACTGACTATTACAATAAAACAGAGAGCCTGGAGGAATGCAGATGGATGGTTCTTGTCTTCGTGATAATAAAAAAAAACACAAAAAAACCACAAGATTAAAAATTAAAAAAAAAAAAGATTTTTCATTTGGTCATCTTTCTCAACGGCACTGCTGCTGATCTCAAGGACTCTCAAGGAAACTGTGGCTCAAGTGTCTGGCACTCGGGATTCATTCACCGCGGGTTAAAGAACTGATGTGAAGCAGAGCGTCTGAGAACATCAGAGAACTGATTCACAGTGTGTTAAGAACGAACACCAGCTTCAGAGGATCCCGTTTGAAGGCTGCGTTTGGGTGCAGCGTGCAGAAAGACGTAGTAAAAACACACACACACACACTTTTACAGCCTGGTACCTCAGAGAACATGTTCAGCCACAAAATACATTCAGAGTCCAGTAACAAGGGTTTATGGGAAGCTTTTCAAAACAACAATGAATATATTATTGGTGTCACTTTGAGGCGTGGGTACTGGGGGGAGGGGTATATCAGGAACATCTACCATAAAGGTCACATAGAAGGCCATCTGTGAGAGGCCTATGATGCAATCCCTCAAACAAGAATCCATCAATTATTCCCTGCAGTGGTCATCAACTAGTGGCTCACAGGCCCAATCCGGCTCACCAAACCATCTACTTTGAACCTCGAGTGGGTTCCAAAATTGTGAGGTTGAAAGATAAAAGACTATAAAAGCAAAAAAAAAAAAAAAAAAAAGAAAAGACAATAAAAGCAAAAAAAAAAAACAGCAACTGACGCTTAAATAGCTGTCTGTAATGCCCACCGTCTACGACCAAAATTAAATTTGATTTAAGTGTCTAGCGCACAAGGTGTCTGTCCAAAGGAATTCTAAATGTCGACCCCTGATCTACCACTTATTTCTTTGCAATGTTACAGTTATGCAAGACAAGAAAATAAAACAGGAAAAGGAGATTTGGATTTTAGTAGAGAATTTGATCTTGTCAGGACTGGACTTTGACCTTTTGACCTCTGTGCTGTGGTCCAGCACATCTTCACCCCTAAACTCCTAAACTTTCTCCACTTTCCACAAACTTAGTTCCTTATATTTCTGTGCTAATATAAAAACATGACGTTCCATACAGCAGACCGCTAACGTTTCTCTTGCATCGTGTTAATTTGTCAAATACCGATATCAATAAAAAAAGTTCAAAAGTTCTGTCAACCCTGTCATTCTAAATCCGTTATTTGTCATTTTTATCGGCTCTCAGAGAACTCTCTTTCATAAATCCACCATCCTTATCTTAACAATAACTCAGGCTGTTTTCACTAATGACTTCACAGCAGTGAGGACAATTGATGCTTATGATAAGACTATTCTTAGAGCTCACGTCTTTATAGTTTTTGGAGTTTTATACTAAACTTTGACAAGTTTCTATTGTTTCTCCAAATAGGGTTTAAAAAAAGGCTGTATATGTTCATGTCGACAGTTAACATTACTATGGAGATGATCGATTCACCCTGGCCTTCCCCAAGCTCTCACTTTTGTGCAGACATTACTTATAAGTTGAAGGAGTAAAGACAAGAAGAGAACTTATTTATCCTGCTAACATGGTGCGTTACGTTTTTCTTTCATTCTTAAATGATCAACTGAAGCATTTTTTTAAAGGACAAACAATAAAAACAAGGGCAAATATTAGTTGTTATTGACATGGGCCAGATGTGGTTAGGTTACGTGTCACAGGTGGCCCCAGGGCCAGGAGTTTGACACCAGACTTATACTGAAGCTGTTAATCTGGGTACGCATAATATTATACCAACTTCTCTACGTTTACTTTATATGAACTGCAGCTACTGTAGCTGGTTATTGGAGCTCACTGTGAATGAAGCATGTTCAGCACCTTGGACAGCTCCACTCCACCGCTCTGCTTCTTTACACTGCAAACAGCTGTGAATACATTTTACTTTTTAACCAAAAAGGAAATGCAACTTTTTAGAATGTGGTGAATTAGTTCATTATTTTAGCACCACACTAAATAAATCGAATTAATTCTATAATATTTTGCTGGTTTTGCAGTTTGCATTTCACAGGCAACAACATGTAATTCAAAACCAACTGAGGCCAGCGAGGTCAAGCAGAGTGTGTTTTGTCAGCATATATGTCCCACACGTCATGTAGGTTTCATAGATTCTATCCTCCGTTCGAAGACATCCCAGTTATTCCATTTATTCTTGTCCATTTTTTGTTTTCTTGCTCTTTCCTCCAGACCTGAGTGCCTTTCTGACTCACCAGCCTGATTAATTATACAAACATTTTTAACACACAAATAGTCCTCTAACATTTCCAGTCGCGCAGGTTTGCAAAAAGATTCCGGCGGATCCAATCAAGTCCTATTAAAAGCTCGCTTTAAGAACTTTTCATGAATATTTTATTGTCATTTCTCGTTAATTAGCGTCAGAGAAATCCAAGTTATTTGAAACAGCTGGTTGTGGGGAAGAAAAAAAAAACATCCAATGTGTTCAATGCTCGTGAGAGTCTGTGGCATCCTGTGCGACTCGGTCTGCTGTAATGAACAATTAAATTAGCACTAAGAACTGCTGGTGTCTGACAGCTGTAACGACGCAGTGGTCCCGACGATGACATTTTACTTTTAGGATCACATGTGAAGTTCTGATTATGTCTTTGGTTTAAAGCAGCGTTTATCAACCTTAGGGTCGCAACCCCACATGGGGTCACCTGGGATTCAACTAGGATGGCCGGAAATGTCCAGTAATCGAGAATCATGAATTAAGATATTCTGTCCAGAACAAATATAGATACATTAGGACTCCAGCAGTCTTTCTTAGATGAACTGGAAAAGAAAGTCTGGTTAAGCAATGTTTGCAGAGATTAAAACATCAGTGAGTGAGTTTTTGGCAGCCATTTGCACTTTTTTGTCATCACTAAATTATGTCACTGCAAACAAAACTTACAGTCATTCTCACAAGAAACAGGAATCCAATCATCTGGAGTACCACAGGGCTCAACACTTGGGCCACTTGTTTTTCTCTACTACCTAAATTCTGGCTCTGGTGGAATTTTTTTTTAGGTTCTATTTGATTGAACATTTTCTGTGGTTACATTTTGTTAGGTGTTGGTTACAATAACAGGTTTTCCTTTCTTTTCAGGGTTGCAGAGGTGGGGTAGCGAATCCCAGCAGTCGGCACGCAAGGTCTGGTACAATAACAAATAAAGCACATTTTAAACACTGCAATACTGTAGTATTACAGGATTCAAATATACCCTGAGGTATGTTCTGTAGTAAAACCAATGTGAATGCCATCATTTCTATACAATTCTCCATTCAGCTGTTTAGTCACAATGTAGTGACCAATAAAATGTAGAATTGTGTAAATGTAATTTAAAGATATGAGACACATTAATGCCGAAAAAGAAACATCATTCTGTTTATTGCGACTATACACATTAAACTGATGTATTTTTATTATTATTTTACACAGGTTTGAAGTCTGTAAAGTGGTATGTTTTAGAACTGTAGTATTTATATAACAGACAATTTCTCCTCAGAGGAGATCAGTCGTGCAGGATGACTGGTTGATGATGAAGGAGAGTGCTTTCACCCTTTGACATAAAAACCCAAGAGTAAAACGTCCCTGTAACCTTCACATTCCATCACTGTGGGATGAATTAATCCAACTCTAAGTATAAACGATTTTCTTATCTGATTTTTACTGACTGAAGCACTGAAAGTTCTTCTTTTAATAGGATATAGACACATTTTACGGCTTAAAACTGCTGGCGGTGTAATAAATAAATGTCACTTTGATTTAAAAGCACAAACAAACAAGTTTTTTAACTGCACAAGGTCAGAACTTTACCAGCTCGTAATTCGTCTCCTGGTGGAGGGTTGACACTTGTAAATGCTGATTAATCTTTGGGAGAACGTTGGTTTCATTCACGGTCCACGTCTCAACAAGGCAGCACCTTTTTTGACACTGGGATCCATCGCGGGTTTCATTCACGGTCCTCGTCTCAACAAGGCAGCACCTTTTTTGATTTAATTGCCGAGCCGGGTGAGCCCTATTGAGTGGGCTGCTGCTCCGAGGTAGAGAGATTACACGTAACCCCGGGGGCATTTGCACTTCACAGATCAATGTGAGCCTCTTCAGACTCATGTGGCCTCATAATCTGCCAGGCAAGTGATCAAGAGAAGTGATCCAGAAACATCACGGTGCCTTAAATGGTGCGGTCAAGTGAAATTCAATATCGATTCCCTGCTCGGCTCGTTCGTTGGTGAACATGTGTACGTACAACACTACTGCAGCGTTACTCTTTTCATACGGCTTCACTGTCTCCGAGGTCCTGCAAACACGCACGGGATCGATGCATTAATGGGTCAATGTGGAGAAATCCACACAAGACTCCAGAATGAGTCATCTGTGGTTTCGCGGAGTTACGTTCATACACAACAAAATATTGTAAAAGAAGAAAGAGCAGAATAAAGACCGGCGACAACAATCGCGACGGCCGCGTTGTCTGCGGCCTCTTTTGTGTCTCTCTCCAGTCGTTTTGAATCATTTCGTAGACGCTTTGTGATTATTTTTGATTGTCTTCATGTTCGGGTATTTTTTTTTTTTTTTTTTTTTTGCTCTTCCTTTTGGAATTCTTTGTGCTCTGTTCGGAGGTTTGCTTTACAGTCATTGTGTGTGTTATTTTCTCCCTGACTGGTTGTTTTGCGCCTCTCGTCGCCCCTTCACTTCTCTTTATAGCACCTTGTCTGTTTTAAAGGCTATTTTTATGTGTCTTTGCCGTAAGTTATAGAAGTTTGGTCGTCATGTTTACATCCTTTGGCTTCTGACCCCCTGCATCTCCGTCTCTGGCGCTTCCACCAGTCGCGGTCTCTTTACTCTTTACTGCTGAAAAGTTTGCCATCAAGGCAGCATATTATTATATGCTTTTAAAATATATGGATTGAGCTCCGCTGGGAGCTCACGCAGTTTGGACGAGAGCAGCTACACCGGGAGTTAATCATGCTCAGAGATATTTGCAGTTCAAGGTCACAACAGTGGCAGAAATATTCCTAATATTCCTACAGCCACATATACCACATCTGGTGTCAGAAAAACACAAGAAAAAAACCACACAGACGACCATGGAAAATGAGGCAGTAAAGTAAAATAAAATGATATTACCATTTTTTCAGGTCACCCAGCGACCTCTGGTGGGGGACGACCATGAAAAATGAGGTGGTGGGCCCCTAATTGGGCTGCGGCCCCCATTTTGGAAAGCCCCCAATTGGGCTGCGGCCCCCATTTTGGAAAACCTCCAAGGAGGCCGCGGCCCCCATTTTGAAAACCACACAACTTTTCTGGACAGAATTATTATAATAAATCAAGACGCCCAGATTTTTTTAAGGTTTCCCAGAGAGTTTGCCATGTTCCTTCCTTCTCTGTTTTTAAACAAGATCCTTATCGTTGTGTGTAGTCAGTGTGTGTTACTCGTGTCGGGAACAACCACAGGTTTTTTCCCCGTGACTATGATGGATTGCACACGTATTCAGAGTGTGTCAAAGGAGTGAATTAGTTTTTGCTCTTTTGTGCTCCGACAGCACCTGAACCCAAACGCTGTACAGAACAGAACACGGTGCAAAAATTGACTTTTGATTAATAACGTGGTTTTCTGCTTAAAGAAGCAGCCAGTCAGGTCCAATCGATAAGAACGCGCTGTTCACACTCGACAACAAATGAGTTTCATGTATCTCCGTTTGCCTGACGTGCGCACACACGCACACCGACGCACAGCAAATCTGCAGTTTGTTTGTGTCTTTTTATTGCCTTGTTGTCATTATTCAGGAATAATGAAAATAATGTTCTCATATGCAAGGTGGAAAAAAAAGAAAAAAAAGGACACAGACACCAATTAATCATGAACTCAAACCTGGTGCTCTAATCAGCCCTCGCTGCTGTTCGGCTGTGTTCAGTGAAAGCAGTTGTCTCAAAGGGACAACGTCCCAGAGCGGATTCCCATTATTCTCCTCTGTTCCTACGCTTCCACTTGATTTCAGAGAAATCAAAGAAACACTTGTCGCCATGAGGAACCTTAAAGCCGCTGTAGGCAGGTTTCATCAGTTATTACACTATTCTGTGATGTGCAAAAGTGAGCACAACCAGTCTCTTTCCTGACCTACAGATGGCACTAAGTACTGTCATAGGTACTCTATATTAACATAAAATATTACAGGACGCTTGTGATATCTAACACATTTAAACTCTGTGCATTCTGAAGGGATGTGGTTCCCAAAGTGAGGGGCACCAACCTCGATGCTGCACATGGCTACTGCAGAGGAGACGTATGGGTATTTAGTTAGTGTGTAATTGTATTGACAGCTGACCACTTCTTATATTTCTGACACACAAATTACACTAATCAAGAGCTTCAGCTAATAAGGTGGCGCTATTGCACCTAAAGTTATTGATTACAAAGATCAATATTTTGTTGTTCATCAGTATGTCTAATAATTCTGTCCTGTCCTGAACCAACACTGAATTAAAAACCATGCATATCGTGGGTAATATTTTCTGTTAAATTAATGTGGAATTAATTACACTAGGTCAATAACAAAGCCTCTAATTGTACTTTAATTGAATAAATATTTTAGGGGATTCTAATGGTCGTTTTCTTGATGAAAAGGAAGGCGACGGTTATTTTGTATTGCAGCTCAAACTGCTTAAACTGGGGAGAAGAATATTATAGGCATTTAATTAAATCACAGAAACACATTTACTCCTACATTAAAATTCATCTGCAGCTAGTTCACAACAGCAGCCGAGGAAAAGCAGTTAAAAGGAAATAAAAATTACCAACGTTAACTGGGATCCACTTTCTCCTGAAGCTCTGAGGGAGTAAAAATCTGAAATTGACTCAATTATTATCTTGATTTTATTTATTTTATTTTTTATTTTTTTCATTCTAAACAGTGAAGACGTCTCGTTCCAGCTGCAGGGGCTCCATTGCTGCCATTTGATATGCGCTTGTGTGTATATTTCTACATCTAAACTGTCCTTCACGCTGGAAGGCTGCAGCGCGATGACTCCATCACGGCAAATGCTGAACAGCATTAATGTGACATTATCCCGCCTCATGATGGAGCCACAGGGAGGAACGGGAGCCTGATATGACACACTGTAATGTCACCAGGTCTTACATCCAGAATATGTTTAATGGTTTGAAACAACGTCGATGCATGTAGAGCTTGTGGGAATTCTTAATGACCAACAGGATAGCTGCTATGTTATTGCAATTCCTGAGGAAACATTTGAACAGCATTTTCATCTCCTCCGTTTTCCCAACCACTCTTTGGCATTTATGTTACGGGAAACAATGACACTGAGGATTACGCTCAAATTTTTCAAAACATGCGGTGCTTTTTACGGCTTTTTCCGAGCAGGATGATCCCAGACCTCATTCTGCACAAATTAAAAACACACGTCTTTAAAGACAAAAAGTGGCTGACCTGCCTGCAGTCCAGATTTTTGTCATCATCTTGAAATCTTCCACCGCTGTTACACTGTAGAAAAACAGAGAATCATCCTTAAGTGAAAACACAAAATTCTCTCTCAATCTTAAAGCTAAATATGTCTCAACATTTTTTCATATTTCATGATTCCATCAAACACCTGCTAATATTTTTTTGGATTCTTAGGAATGTCTGTTTGACTCGATTAATCATGATTAATTGAGATCCAGTGTCAATTCTTCGAACTGCTGTAAACTGCAGGTAAAAAAATCAATAAAAACTGCTTGTAACTGCACAGCTTGACTGAACGTTCGTTTATCAATTAAGAAAACCAATAGTATATAATCATTACAGTACTTTCATGGAGGTAGGAAAATCAGGAAACTACTATTAAGAACTGCAGTTTTTTATTTCTCAGAAATATCCCAGTGTGATGGAGGAAGAAACGATCTATACTTTCCTTTTCTGGCTGAAGTAAAACTAAATGTACATACATTTTTAATTACAGTGGAGGATTTTATCTACCGAGATAGAAAACAGCCGATCACGGACCTCAGGGCTGAGGAAGATACGGTGTCTCTGTGGAACCATAACAGTTCTCCTTCACAAAACCAAGTCAGTGTGATGAGTGGGTGAAATAGGAAAATGTGTGATTTCCACACACTTTGAAATGAGACGAGACTCACTGTCGGCTCCTGTTGTGAAGCAGAACTCGTTGTTAATGCTGGCGAAGTAGACGGTTCTCTCCGGTGACTGTGGTTTAAGAGCAAGAAAGACTGGATAAAGAGAAAGCAGAGAGAAGAAAATAAGAAGAGTCTATAAATGCTCTATTGCTCATACATTAGCTTGCTAGCTTAGCATCTTAGCTGTAGAAGGGGCACAGAGATTTTTTAAAACAACAAAACAATACAAAATATCAATTTTTTTTCCTTCCAGTTTATTTTGATCGGAATTTTGTTTTAGCTAATCACTGGCGGTCTTTGATGCTAACACCCCTAGCTTTTTGCGAATTAACTTGTATTTGGTTTTTATTTGCTAATGTTAAACTCTTGATATTATTTACTTAGCTAACGTTAGCTTTTTAACTTTATCACCCTTTTTTTAATTTTGTTAAACGGCTGAACATTAAGTTGATTTCATGTTTTATTTCAATAATGTAATATTTTCTTATCCATATGCCAACTCTTAAAACCATTTGGTTGATGACAACTATCCAAGCCTAGTGGGAGTTTTTTTTTTTTCATTTGATTTATTTTTCTACAGGTTACTATAGTTATTTATTTGCTAATGTTCTAAAAGCAACGCTAAGGTCATTTTAAGTGCAAATGTATTCCTTTTTGCAGGACTCGGACTTGACGTCTGTGCTAGTTGATAATCCATCTGACATAAACAACTCGAGGAGAAAACAAAAGACAGAACTTCATGTATGTTCAGAATGGGTTTTTACAAGCATTGTGATGAAGAGCATGCACAGGATTGAAAGGAAACAGGTTGAAACACTGCAGGTGAACTGGGGAGACGGAACGCTTCAGGTTCCTGGATTGTGTTGGATTGACAGGTGCTGGAGTTCAGCACAATGTGAGGGAAAATACAGACTCCCCTGTGAGTCAGCTGGAGGGTAAAGGTCAAACGATGGAGGATCGACGCTTCACTTCGCTGTTTCATAGATCATAATAACACAAAGGGTTTTTAAATTTAATTCTGTCGCACTCCACACAAAGAGAAGCTGTTTACGTTTTAATTCTCAGGGAAAAAAGCCAGTTAATTGGCAACTGTTCCAGTTTGGAAGCTGGATGTTTGACAGGGATTATAGAAGAAATGTGCACTCTGACACACACACATACAATCACACTATGAGGCGGGGAGGCAGCAGGAAAGCATACACAGCATGCAAACACGTGCAATGAAAGAACCACCTCGTTACCCATCGTTTTGAGAGAGTTGAGGAATGAGGGAAAAAAAAGAAAAAAGAAAAACTCTCTGTGAACAGCAGGACAGAAGGTCACCAGTAAAAAAAACAAAGTCATTCCGAAATAGTTCTGCAGCAGCAGGAAACAAATGAAGTTACAGAAATGTGACTAATGCTTAGAAGCAACTTGACTCGCTGTCGTCGAACTTTGTTTATGCTTCATTTCACTAACTTTAATTGCAGGAAAGAATTTTACAAAACACAGAAGCATTAATAAAAGTCGTGTTGAGAATTTATGAAACTTAATTAAATTCTGACCCGGTATTCTGATGATGCACCTAGTGCAGATGTTGTGCAGAATAATTAGATGCACCTTAGAAAACTGGAAGATAAAAGACAGTATGAATGCTGTTTTGATGAGAAAACTAAAAGTACTATCAAAGAAATTAGTTGGCAAAATATACAGAAATGTACTTCAAACATTTATATCTCAGCCAAAAATACCAAAAATAATTTCATTCCTACAGTGTGATGTATCTTGACTTACCCCAAGCCATATCGAAGGGCAAAAAGTTCCCCCCAAAAAACTGAAGCACAATACAATGTATTACCTACAAACGTTGTCTGCCTCATACATCACCACTTGACTACTACACACAGAACTAGTTGCCCAGTTTTAACACCCTATGTCGGTGATGAATGACGGAACAAAAAGTTCTAAATAAATTTATGGGAGATGGCAAGCACAGAACTAGTTGCCCAGTTTTAATGCCCTATGTCGGGGATGAATGACAGAACAAAAAGTTCTAAATACATTTATGTGAGATGGCAATGTAACTACAGTCCAGGACATCATAAATTAACCAAATTACCATAAAGAATTTCAAGATAATGAAGCCATGAACAAGTCCAAAATGATGATGTTCCACTGTAGCTACACTTAAATAATAGCTAATGGTTAGCACCAGTAGCGAAAGACAACATACTAACTAAAAAACAACCCAAATGGCCAAATGACTATTGAAAATAAACTGACTGGTTACCACGTTAGCTTGATTAGCTCAGTTCATTCACAGCATCATCCACATATACAGACATATAAATGAGGCTGGTAAACACATTGATACCTTAACATTTTCATTCTGTTGGACTTAATAAAAAGACACAAACCATCCTGACAGGCCACACCGCTGAAAGCACAGGTGTAAATTAAAGAGTTCCATTTGAGAACCCATGTTTCTGCTCTGTGACCTTGTTCTAAATTACATGCACTGCACAGAGGCAGGGCTAATGTGATCTGTAACACCTTTGCTTATTAAAGTTAAAAAAAAAAAAAGAACTCTGCAGTGAAGCAAAGGTGGCTTATTTAACTCAAAGTCATGGAGAAGTTGAAGTTAAAAAAAACTTTTAAGTTAAAAGTTACATGTGGCTTCTGTTTTTCAGGAAACTGCTGTTCTGCATGTTTCTGATGATGACAAGAACATCCTCAACTTTTATGTAAAGAGCGTGTTGCTTTTTTCAGCTCTAGTCCTTGACAGTCGTTTCAACTCAAACCTGTTTTTTCTCAGAACATATAAAAGTCATAAACAGAAGAGTTGAAAAAAAAGTCTCGTGCTTCGGCCGCTCTTTTTTTCTACTTTTTCTTACTTTCTGCTGCCAAAGTAAACTCCATCGATCTGTGTTACTGAGGGTCTCGGGTATGAACCCACTGTCTGCCCAGGGAGCACACACACAGCTGCTTTATTGACCGTCGTCGCTGTTCCTGTGGCAAAAAAACAAACAAAACAACTAACAACTGGCTGGAATCTTTTTTTGATTAATGTTACATCCGTTCTGAACATCTGATATTTGGACGAAAGAGAGTTTCGGACAATAACATACAAAACAAGAACACCTGCAACCACACGCTCGCCATAGTGAAGATATGGCAGGGGAAGAGAAAATAAGGCATGATGGGAGATCAATGGAGGTGTGGAAGTGTTAAGTGTTGAAAGTGCACCAGGAGACAATGAGCGCTAAACCAATTAACTTGCTACAAGAGTTACGGCCGTCTGCTGCACTCTCACCAGGGCTTCAACCTTTTGACCGCTCATCTATAACTTAGAAAAGCATTAAGTGCCTGACAAAAAAAACTAACCTCCCTCATTATAAACGCTTTAAATATTCATGCCCATCACCAGAAACTTTCTTCTACATAACAGTGGAGGTGGAGCAGAAGGATGAACCAATGTTTTCTGTCCCTCCACATATTGACCTGCTCATCTGTCCCAAAAATAGGAGGCATGTCAGTAATTCCAGGGTTTGTTACTCTTCCAAGTATTAGCTGCTGTGGGCTTTAACACCCTTCTGGAAGTTAATTTGAAAAAATCATCATATTCTCTCTGTTGTTTTTTGGGGGTTGTCAGAACTTTGAGTTGATCTAAACACGCAAACTATGGATGAACATTCAATAAAGATGTGTTTGCTACTAATCAAAAAGTCAGGCGTTCGATTTCAGATCTGTCAATGTGTCACTGGTCAAACACTGATCTCTGCTTAAAAAGTAAAGAATAAGGTTAAAATGTTGAAAGTGCAAACATCAGGGTAAAAGGTCAAAATTAAGGTATAATATAAACGATTAGGTGAAGGTTAATTATCATTATAAAAATGAGTCATGTAAATGTATAAATAAGGCAAAAATATGAAAAATAAGATTGAAAATTAAAGATTACAGTGAAGGTTAATTATCATTATAAAAATGTCAGTGTTAGGATAAGGTAAAATTGGAGGCAAAATATAAACACTGAGGTAAAATCTGAATGTTAACAAAATAAGGTCAAAATTTATACTTTAAGGTGAGCTCTAAACATTGATATAAAATGGTATTGTTAAAAATAAAATATTTGAATAATTTTAAATGAAGGAAGAGATACATCTATAAAAAATAATTAAAATGAAAGATGTTTGACAGTGGGTAAAATATCAAGAATATTTAAAAACGTCTTGAAACGTTAAAATATTTTGATGAGCAAAAAAGCAAAGAACATTTAAAAACGTCTTGAAACGTAAAAATATTTTGATGAGCAAAAAAGCAAACATAAGTAAAAATGAATTCTTCTGTATGTACTTGAATATACAGTATATACTTTGCATTAAAGGAACACAATACACACATGAACTGTTCCATAGCAGGGTAGATATGCAGGGCAGACTTCACACATATGCAGATGATACCCTTTTAAGACCAGTACAAAAGAAAACGACATTTTCCTTCTCCTATGCTGAACTCCTGAAGACACCACACGCTCAGTGTCTTAGCTATTCCATCTTCTGGCCACGCTCCATGATTTTTCCTGGTCTACAAACGGACCAAGATTCCAACATAAACTTACATAAACAACCATCGCTGCCAAGTAAGAGTCGTACATAGCTGTAACAGAGGACGGTTTGGAAAGTTCATAAAACAGTCATTGTTTTTAGGACACATTTTTAATGTCCTACTTATATAATGGTCATATTGTATGTAAGCAAATGGTTCCAGTGGCAGTGAACTGCGCACAATACACCACTGATCCAACGTCTCGTCAAGGCTCTCAGAAACACGGTGGCCATAATGACATCGTAAATCATTTTAGCTAACTGTGGCAGGTTTTTGTCCTTTTACTGATATTTTGGACAAATGGCTACTTCTAGGCTGAAAGAAACTACTCTTTAGCTTTTTCTAACCTAATCCTTGGTCTTTTATCGGTTCCTTTTTGTAAGTTATTTTTGTGTTTTACTTTAAGTTAACTTCATTGTGCAGAAACAAATGCTTTATTGCTGTTTTCATGGCTAAACTGTTTCAGTTGTTGTCTGTTGACCTATAGGTAATTACTATATCTGACTTCA